GAAAAAAAATAAAGCCTGAAGATATTTGGAAATGTGGTTACCCATTCCCTTGTCCTACTCTGGGGCAGCAAAGCTGATCCTGTCCCAAATCCCGAGTATGCTCTACGCAAGGCGACCCAGATTCCTCCACTTCTGTTGGGAGCCTTCAGTTCTGGAAGCGAGCTCATGGTATCTCCCGTTTGCCTGAAGTCCGGAGGCCCTACTTCTCAAAGTTTTTACTTTCTAAATTGACTAGACAACACATTCAAAGGAGAAACAATTCAGGAACCTTCAACTGTTTGCAGGTATTTAGAATAAAAACATTTTCAAGCAGCCTGAGCTCCACAAACTAGAGCTGGAAGTATCCTCTTAGCAAGCTACTCTGGGGTATTCCCCAGAGTTCCCAGCTGAAGCAGGGAATCAGACATTATCATACTAACCATCTCCTCCTGGTCTCGTTACCAACCACCTTTTCCCCACCTGATGACAATCTACCCTGTTAGACAGTGATGAATCAAGAACATTTACAGACCAAGACCTGAAGTAAAGAACTCACCACCACAGCAAAATCCAAATGCAAACCTCAGCTCCTGCTCTCCATCAGTAGGATCTCCACATGAAGAGCCAATAAACCAGTCCAGCTACTCTCCTGCAAGGTGAAATGAAGACGTTGCTATTTTTACACACTAACAAGAGGGATGGAGCCATTCCACCTCGCTCTTTGAAGAGTGAAAATGGATGAATGTGACATTCCTCAGAGGCAGCCTTGTAGAGGACACACACTTACCTAATCCAAGAAGCAATGCTTCACAAATAGGACACTTCTCCATCTGTCCCAAGGAATAAATTCCTGAAAGGAAAAATGTCCTCCTTCAGTTAAAGTTCTTGTTTAGACGGAAAACTAGTTAATTGTCTTACTCACTTATCTTGAGGCATCACTTACTAAGGAAGAGACACTGTATTGCAAACAACCACCAAAAAGGCTTTCATATAAATGATAATTTTATTGTAAATAAGATGATACATTGGCCTGGCTTTGCACTGCAAGCCCCCGGTCGGTATATATAGACTACTGGTTCAAGGTCTTCTGCACAATCCAGGTTAAAGCAACTTCTCCCTGCTCTGCACAGCTTATGTCAGACAGGTATTGATAAAGTTCTTTTCTTCACTTCTGAACTGCCCCATGGCACATCTAACTTTTCTAACTGGGAAGTTCTGAGCTGCTCAGTGAGATTTGCTCCTGAACAAGGCTGAGGTTTAAAGACCTGAAGCCCAAATGCCATTAAACTATGGAGGGCACCTATTTTTTTCTGAAAATTAAAGACAGACTGAATACTCCCAGCTCCAAGGGCAGGTACCGAGGTGACAGCCACAGGACTGTCCGTATTCAAATATGTAAAACCTTTCCATCCAGCAGCTATTAACCTAAGCACCAATCGCTGGGATCTCATTCAACTCCCCTGTACAGCCCTAAGCTCTAATCTGGCCTTTGCCTACCAGAGAAAGCATGTACAGCAGGGATATGTATTTACTGAGGTTTCACAAATTGTCCTGGCGCTCTGGGCACTTGGAAAGAACGTGTGTCACCTGAGCAGGTACCAATCTCCCTCTTGGTCAATTTGTTTTGGTAATTAATGGCAACGGGAACTGTTTAGAGCATCTTCAAATCCTTTGGAATACTACTCCAAAAATATTAAAAAAAAAAAATATCCAAAATTGCTGCAACCTACTGCTGGTAGAATAGGCAAAGATCAGATTTACTGGAGAACAAGCAAATAACCTGGAATGCACAGAATCGTCACACCACGACCAAAATGCCAGCAGTTTGTTTCCTAACAAGCTCAGGGACAGCCAAATCCCCCATTCCCCCAAGTTCCTCTCTGATGGGAATCTCGGACATTTTCCTGCTCACAGTCTCAACTGTTTCAGGATAATGAGATTCCTACAAGGTATTTTTCTTCATATAGAATATTCTCCATTTCTGCCGCACCTTCCATCAAGGATCCCAATACTCAAATATTCACTATATATCCCTCCCTGGAAGGAGCAGCAGAAAACACAAAGTGACATTTGGAATGGACACAATAGCTTATTGTTAGCCTGGCACTCCCTCCTCCACTCTCCCCTAAATGAGTTTATTCCCAGTTTTTTTCAAATTCTGCCAGGATAAAGAGGCCAGACGTAATTCAATTTAGAGGTATAATTACATTTATGTCCACTTGAAACTTTTTCGCTGCCAGGGCCCCAAGTTTATTCACTGTAGCAGTGGACTTAGGAATCCAGATCTTCCTTTTCCATAATCAAGAGGGCTGTGAGGAAACAAAGAACGCATTTTGGCTTGGCTCTACTTGTTATAAACCATCAGCAAATTCTCTGCAAAACCAGCTGCTTTTTTTCCTTTTTAAATTCATAAAGGCGTCAAATTTATTTCCCATCCTCCCCCCTACCCCGTAACAGTCGAGTCGATATATATAAAAATCACCAAATATGATCTTTTACGATATAAATAAAAAAAAAGTATGAGGCATCACCGTTTACATGATGTAAAAAGAGCTAAAAAAGAGCGATATAAACTACATTCATAAAAGTGCATCTCCAAACATACAAGTAATGCTTTGGCTTGTTCCTGTGCCGAACGGGTGGCATTGGGTCAGGTACTGGAATACAAGAAGTCCAAGCTGGCACCCCATGTTCTCTGTCACTGTACAATTGCTATTTACTTTCATTAATACAGACTGGAATACAAGTGTATACACAGAGTAGGCACATTTCAGCATAGGTGGTGGGAAGGACCAGAAGCTCTGGCGGGGAGAGGACTGAGCCCATCAGTCCACGATGCTCTTTGCTCTGCTCTGGAACAGCCTTCCATGACGCATATGAGGTAAAAGCCACAACGGATCCTGAGGATTTAGTTGCTTTGAAACATTAAAAGTTACACCATTTCCTCATGCCCTGTTCTCTCCCAAAGCACAACGTGTGGGATAGCAAGGAAAAAAGGTCTCAATACAGTGAGGACAAGCCAAGGGTAGAGAGAAACCTACGCAGACAGGATCACCACACTCTTGATTACCCTGCAGACGTGCAGCAGCAAAGTGTGATGAATAAAAGATTCCAATCTTTGGTATATTTAGGTGCTAGTTGCAAGGCTTTAAGAGTGCTACCAGGAGTGTTGACCACCCTACTTCTGTCATCAAGACGACAGGAATGATTTTGCATTCCTCTGCAGCATATGCAGCCATTTACACCACAACAAAGTGGTGTAAAAAGCTCCCTAGAACAGAGTAGCAGTGTCACGTCCTCACCTCCCTTCGGTGCAAGTGACAGCGAAGTGCAGGCCAAGAGTCAGGCCATGTGTCTTGACAATTTGGAGTCAAGTTCCGGGTTTGGAAAAGATCAATAGAAGTGCTCTCATTAGAATTAAATAAATTATGGAACAAGGGCTTTTGTAAAAGATATCCCCCCAGGTGCCTGCAACCCAAACAGTGCATCCTTATAGTAGTGCAGGAGAGCCTGAAAGTGAAACCACTACTGGCTTGCTTTGAGTTTGGCACAGGAAAAACACTTCAGATCGTTAAACCCTTTCAAGGCTTTTGGTCGTTTGGGGTTTCTTAGGGTTATTTTTTTCCTCTTTTAATTAAACACATTATTTATCATGTGTTCAAGGAGCTTGGTTTCATTAAAACTTGCCTTCTCCTGCTATAAGCATTCACTTAAAACTATTAATTTTACTGCATTTTGAAAGCAATTTTCAAGTTTTCTTTGGGGGGGGAAGAGTGGAGGCATGTGGACCCTTACATGTTTCCAATACAAGAGCAGAACACCTTTAGCGTTGCTCTATAAAGCAATATTTTAGCTAATTATACATCTGCTTTTCTTAGTTTCATTTCACGCAGATAACTTACAATTACTTCCTGAATCCCCAGCACTTAAAAACTGCTGCTCTTTTATGAGTGAAATAAGGACTATTAGCGCCCCAATCAAGATACAGTATTTGAGGCCAGTAAGCCATCAGGAACTCAGTTTTCAGAGACGGGCTACCGTTCCAATGCAAAATCACTTGGATACATTTTGCTGGTACCTGTATGGGGATCTCCAGTTAATTTTAGAAATATGCTAGCATTACAAATGTTCTCTCTGGTTCACTGTTTGACTTAACTTGTACAAAAGCTTATTTAAACAGGGCCCTAATATTTTATGGAAACCTTAAAAGAACACTTGCACATCTGTAAAACAAAACACACACACTGAAGGGTTGAGCTTGATTCTATCCTACTGTGCACAAGTAAAACCAGTGTCCAGCAAATTCTCCCTGTGAAAAAAGTCAATTTTCCATTAGGCCAGGTCCTCAAAGAAACACATAAGCTTTTCCTCAAGTAAATTCCTGGGCATCAGATGAACTATCTTTGGTTTAAAGAATGGTAGGAAGTTACCATCCAAAAAGATAGGTGCAACAGAAAGTCATTCTGCAGAACTTCCTTCCAGAAGGGTTTTGTTTAGACCCAGCAGTCCCAGGGAGATGAAGCCGGAGCACAGATTAGTTAGCTATGAGGACACAAACTAACCAACACTGTCTTAACACTAGGACAGATTAAGCCTTGGAAATCAAGCTTCGGATTTTTCAACGTCAGTGAGAGCGCCCTTATCTCAGGCCCTGGAGTGATTGCATTCTGCTGAAACTTTTCTGATTATCCTGACATTTCGCTAGAAAGACCTCCCTCACCCCCACCCCAAAATCCATGGTTTCATTATAAAATAACACTATTCACATACTTTTGAATCAATATTTTCTGAACACCTTCAGATGCTGAATACTTAAGAAGAAAAATATATAATTATATAGCGAGCTCATGCTCAATGACACATGGCTTTTTGCTGGATTCATGTACTATAGATGCCTCTAAAGCCCTAGCAGTCTGGAAAACAGTGAACCCACACGTAGACAGCTGGTCTGGGTGGCTGTTGCACATTTCTGTTCTGAAGAGTGTAGGTCTTCCAGTTCCCACTTTGGTTCAGATATCTTCACCAGTGAGACACTTCTTAGCGCCCCATCCTTGGGCCTGCAGAAAACATGCAGCCAGCTGCAATTTCACTTCAAGGTAACCAGGGCAAAAATGCAGCTCTGTTTGGACAGCTGTCGGTAGAATAAACATTAGTCCAGCAAACAAAGGTATCAGGCACAAGAGCAGACCCTAGGTTCCTTGGCATAATTTCCCCAAAGGACTAGGACAGCCGAGTTGGCATTTTGAAGATGCAGCACCACAACGGGCAGTTGCAACTAGACCAAACGGGGCACCGAAAGCCCAGCAGGAGCTGCTAGCGAGGGAGGTAATTCAGTACTGGAGCTGTGCAAACTGATGTCTGAGCAGCTCTTCAGCAGAGGGTCTGTGCCTGGCTTCCACAAAGATCTGCTTTAGAAAGTCCCGGCAATGTTCTGATATGTGGGAGGGGAGCTGGGGGTTGGTTGGTTGGGTGGCGATTTTGAAAATGGCTGCCATGGCTTCGTACTCTGCCCAGGGTGGTTTCTCTGTCAGCATTTCCACAACAGTACAACCGAGGCTCCTGGAAAAGCAGACGGGGTGGGGGGGGAAAAGGTGAGAATTGACTCACACAATAATGCACAGTATTCAGAGCGAGCTTCCAAGCAGCCAACATCAAGGTAAAGCTCTGCTCTGAAAACAGCTATAAAATGGCTTTGTGCTCAGCAAGTCCCATGTGTGCGCAGATTCTGAGCCACACCTGCCAACGTCGCTGCTTTTACTACTGTCTGACTAGCAGTAAAGTGCTGAGACAGGGAGGCTGGTTTCCACCGTGGTTCTCACTGCACCCAGAACTGTGAAGTGCCATCTGTCCAGCTCTCCTTTTGCGCAAATTCTACCCTTGGTAAACGTTGGCATTAACAACAGGGGGACAAGAGGTGCACAGGAGATGTCCCTGAAGGCACTGCTTGACCTCCGTGGTATTTCGAGTGCGGCTGCTCCTGTTGTATCTCAAAGGCACTTGCTGAGTTGCAAGGTAGGAAACATACTTTTTAATCAAGGTCCAGTGAATCAGAGCTGGTTGACCCCACAAAGCCATTTCAGCAAAATCCCTTTTCAGCACACAGCCTCAGAATGCCCACGTGGGAAAAAAATACCCCTAGTAACTCCACTTCACAAGAAACCAAGCACTGTAGACAGTCAAAGAATAATTAACATCTTAACAGCTCCAAACTGAGAAGGCAGTAAGTTAAAATGCTGGTAGGGCAGATGCATCGTTACGCTAAGGCAACATTCCTAGTACAGTTAATAGGGCTCTGCAGGCTAATTCAAGGCAAGAATGTGATTATGGGGATGGACATGGCTGAGCCACCTTTCTGAAGCAAGCGTGACACCAATACTTTCACAGGGAAGATGGGTTTCTGTAGCGCTGCAGTGATTGGTTTTTCTTCATGAAAGGATTAATTGCTTCCCCTCAGGCCACAGATTAAGCAAAAGCAGTTAGTGAACTTCTAATATCCAGTCCTGTGTTTTGATCACATTGTTCCATTAAAAAGGCAAAACTGCCTCTTCTACCTTTAAACTAAACTTTTTGAAGTGAAAAGCAACAAAAAGACATTTTCAGAGGCAGACTTGCATCAATTGCCAAGACAAGGAAGGAAAGGAATTAAATCCAGTGAATATGCAAGAAATGACTTCTTGACAAGGTTTAAAATCCAACGTGAAAATTTTACACTGGTTTCCAGCCATTTAAGACTTACTAGAAGAAAGTACAGAAAATGCAAACCATGTGTGCTGGAGTGCTGGGGGTTTGCTCAAGAGCAAGCAGGGATATATTATTGTTTAGACTGATTTATACCGTTTAAGCAGATCCGGTTTCTTTAAGATATTCAGCAAACAGCAGGCATGTCTT